ATCAGCTCTAACAATCCTGTTGTCCAAAGAACACCATACGACGGTTACCACTTCTAGGTTAATTACAGCACTCTCTGTACACTAGTCGACTACCGTATCTACTGTCGCCTGTAACTCTTGAGCAATTTGATTCCGATCATCCCTCTTTCCTATAAATTAGAACATCCTCTGCGAATATCAGTATTCTACCAACTCCTGGTATTTCCAATTTCGCAATCTACATCGTAAACACATTTACACAGCACAGGTGAAATTGCAGATCCCAGTGGTAGTCCCGGGGCTAAAATACGTGGTTCGCAGGTCAATGAACCTAGTGGTAGAGTTACCGGACGAGAATACAAAGCAGCTGCTATCCAGTTCACTAACCAAGGACAGGCTCCCTTCTCCATTCGCTCTGTCATGAAGGTAATATATCTGACTCTATTGAAAGCATCTTCTAAATCAAGTACTGCTACCACCGTTTCCAGCCTGTTCTGGAAAACTTCGAAGGCATCAAAGGCAAAATTGGCTACATTTGACCATGTGTCCTTTCCTAGCCGATAACTTCCCAAACCTCATGGAAGAAACTTTCTCTGTTCCAAAAAGTCTTGTAGCTTACCCGCCATTATCTTCTCTAGCACTTTGTCAAAATAATTGTATAAGGTTATGATCCTAAAGCGAATGATCCAGTCAGAAAAGGGCAAAGAGAAATTAAACATTAGTCTATACCCCATCTACTTACTGTGTTCATAGCTTTAGTACTAAGATTATTTACACTTCAGTTGTGTTACTAAAATGTTAGCAAACATGTTTTGTTAGAAAGATTTTTTTTTGGCAATAATCAGGAGTCAGAATTAATCCCTTTACATGGTGAAAAAAGTCGGGGTGGGGGGGGGGGCGTTGGGAGTGGGGAGGGCATAGTTTCAGTTTTAAACAGCTCAGTTTACCAAACACTTTTAAGACGAATTGAAGGCCTGAAGCCATGTTCCAGTGTGCCGGTGGGTGTCTAAATTGTGTATATATGTGTAATGAGAATATTTGTCTGATGTGTCTCTCAGTGCGTATTTGTTTACAAGCAGATACCTATTATGTTGAGTTTTTATTGCTCTTACGATAATTCAGTTGTACTGCTTCCCACAGAAATATAATGCGGCTGTTGATAGTTTCTTTAGTACTTCTAACAAGTGCAGGTAAGCATGCAATTGTTTTCTTCATCTGTCTTTCTTTCTTTCTTCTTCTTCTTCTTCTTCTTCTTCTTCTTCTTCTTCTTCTTCTTCTTCTTCTTCTTCTTCTTCTTCTTCTTCTTCTTCTTCTTCTTCTTCTTCTTCTTCTTCTTCTTCTTCTTCTTCTTCTTCTTCTTCTTCCTCTTCTTCTTCTTCTTCTGCTTCTGCTTCTTCTTCTTCTTCTTCTTCTTCTTCTTCTTCTTCTTCTTCTTCTTCTTCTTCTTCTTCTTCTTCTTCTTCTTCTTCTTCTTCTTCTTCTTCTTCTTCTTCTTCTTCTTCTTCTTCTTCTTCTTCTTCTTCTTCTTCTTCTTCTTCTTCTTCTTCTTCTTCTTCTTCTTCAATTTCATTATTCTTATAACAAATCTTTTATGTTCCTCTAATTCTGGTTGTCTTTTTTTTTTAAATGCTCTATGTGATGACTGTGATAAGTATGTGCGCAACGTTACTCTTCATGCTTTAAAAAAAAATGTTAATCACACCTTAAGCGCCCTGATTTCTTTTCTCTTGCAAAAAACTATTTATTGGCTGCCAAAAAAGACCATAGTGTACGCATGAGAATGTCCCACACAGTTGTGATTGTCGGTTCCTGACACAACTAGTCATGATCAAAACCATAGGGTCTGAAATTAAACACAAGACCCTTAGAAAGCAAGATTTAAACGCTCCTCCTTCACGGTATCAGTTAAGGTACAACACATCCTAGCTACTTCAGCTTTCAACTATTTCGGTACCGACTGCGATGACTTCATTCTCTCCCAAAAATCTTCTAGTTTAAAGTTCCCGTTCTAGCTTTTGTCAAGCTACATTTCATCACCACAACAGCTGTTAATCCAACTCTCCCCTCCCAAGAAGTTTAAGGTTAAAGTTTATAGTTCTAGTTTTAATCAGCTGCGTCAATTTATCGCTACAACGCCTTATCTCTAAAAAAAAGATCCAGAATAATGTTATGGTACTAGTTTTAGTCAAACTCTTGTCTTTTCGTCACTACATCACCTGTTAACTGTTACCTCCCAAGAAGTTCTTACTTAAATTTATGGCTCTAGTTTTAACCAAGCTACGACATTTCATTAAAACATACCGTTTTATATTTTAACTCTTTTTCTACTATCCTGTGATTGCTTGCGTCTACCCCGAGAAGTTCTAACATAATGTAGGCAATGTCTCTCAGTTAGGAATGTGCTTTGCTAAGGCAATATTCCAACCAGCTTCCCTGAATGGGGATTTTAAGGTTTTAATTTGACTAGATTGGTGCACCATTCAAAATGGCTTAGCACCGCACGCCACCAAAAACCCTGTATAGGACTCCTGCCGCATTGATTTGATCAAAGAAGACAGAAGCCAATCCTGTCCACGCCGGCTGCTAAGTCGTCTACCGACGAGCCGATTTTGAGGCAATCTTTGAATAAAAAGAGGTTGAAAAAAATAACCCTATGGGCAGACGGATTAAAACTAATTATTTGCTTATAATGCTCATTATGTTCCTTATTGTCTTCATTACTATTTGTTTTGCCCTTTGGAAAAGATATTTGATGCAGGCATTGTTGTGTTGTTTGTAAAACTAAACTAACCTTTTTTAAGCGTTCAGACATATTGGGTATATATGGTTAGACCTATATCTTATAGACCCATGGGCACTTGGTGGGTGATGTGGTCAGCCTCACATCAGCTGCATTTACTTTCCAGGACATCACCTGGAACCCATTTAGGGGTTGGATGTCCTGGGAGCAAGAGCCATTAGGACCCCAACCCACGACCGCCCGCTAAACATGCCAGCTTCTAGCAACTATACCACGGCTGCTCCCTGTGTTCTATGCAGCTACAAGTGTTTACTACCTCAGATATTACCTCTGTCTACCGCCTGCGGGTTCTACCTTTAGATCTGCTTTCATTGTGTCTTACCTACATGGCTCTCTGTGCTGAACTTTTCTGTGATCTTGCAGCATGTCCCAGCCATCTGACTATTTTCCGTTTATGTTGTTTAGCTCTGGTTCTTTCCCAGATTGTTCATGTATCACACTTTTGTGTGTGTGTGACTTCCATATTAGCGAAATAGTTCATAAAAATAGCATTAATTGTTATGCTAAGGGTGGAGATACTAAAAGAAGAAGTTAGCGATGCTATTAAACATATGAAGAAAGTAAAGTCAACTGGGCCAGATCAAATTTCAGTAAAGGAATTAGGAGTACAGGGGACATTTTGGGTAGACATATTAATTACACTTTTGAATGACATTTATAACACTGGCTAAATTCCAAGTAATATGATGAAATCTGTATTTACTGCGTTATCAAAAAGACCAGGAGCAATTGAGTGTGAAGAATTTCGTACAATCAACATAGTTAATCATTTCACCAAATTACTACTCACAATTATTTTAAAAAGAACAAAAAGGAAAAATAGATTTGAAATGAGTGAAGAGAAGTATGGATTTATCGAAGGTAAAGGAACAAGTAATGCAATATACATATTACGAACACTGATAGAAAGATCAATGGACATACACAAAGACTTATATTTGTGCTTTATACATTATAACATCTCAGTGGACAAAGTTAAACATGAAGAGATGATATAAATGTTAGAAGACATCAATGTAGGTGGGAAAGATCTCGGAATAATTAAAAACAAATACTGGAACCAAGTGGCAGCAATTAAAATGGAAAACAGATTGGGTACTTTTGAACAGATAAAGCAAGGAGTAAGACAAGGATGTGTCTTATCCCCTGACCTTGTTCCCTATATAGTGAAATACATTTTTAGGGAAATTAAAGATAATGCAGGAGTAATAGTTGGAGGATACAATATAAACAATTTGCGGTAGGCAGACGATACAGTTTTGATAGCTGAAAATGCAACTGATTTACAACTGCTGATGCAACTGATTTACAACAACTGCTGGATATTGTGGAAATGGATAGTGCTAAAAAAGGACTTTCATGGAATATTAAGAAAACAAAAGAAATGGTTATATCAAAGAAGAAGATAACTGCACGTTGTGATATCATAGTTGAAGGAAGAAGACTTAACCAGGTCAATAAATTTAAATATCTGGGAACAATCATATCATCAGATGGAACATGTGTGATAGAGATTAAAAGCAGAATAGGTCAAGCGAAAGCTGCATTACAGAAAATGAAAAATATCTTATGCAATTAATCGCTCTTATTTAATGTCAGAAAGAGGGAGCTAAAAAGTTACATAGAACCGGTTCTGCTGTATGGCAGAGAATCTTGGAATGTCACTGAACAAATTGAGAAGAGTTTGGAGGCAACAGAAATTAGGTTTTTTTCTTAGATGTTCCTAATGTTACGAATACCTTGGACGCTAGAGTGACTAACAAGGATTGCTTGAAAGCGGCTAATGAAAGTAGATCTCTATATACAACAATAAGAAAGAGACAAACACTGTTCTTTGACCACATTATGAGAGGATAATCTTTGTAGAACATCGTGACAACTGGAAAGATCAGTGGAAAAGGGGGTAGAGGCAGACCAATAGAGATGATGCTGGATGGGTTAAAACGATGGCTTTGAGGGATATCATCAAGAGAGCTGCTACAGTCAACCAGGGATCGTGATCTGTGGAGACGCATGAGCGCCCACGCCAGTTGGCAGGGCACATGATGATGATGATGCGGGTGAAAAAACACACACACACTCGCGCGTGCGCACCCACACATAATCAATAATAATAATAATAATAATAATCATCATAATCATAACATGAACAATTATGTCTGTCAATGACAGTGTTGTTTAACACATGCAAAGCTATCTACTTTGTAATGAATGATTTCAGATGCTATGCGATGCGTGTGCTATTATACCAACTGGGCCCAGTACCGACCAGGAAAAGGGAAATTCTTGCCTGAAAATATCAACCCGAACCTGTGTACTCATATCATTTATGCCTTTGCCAAGCCCGAGGGATTAGATCTGAAGCCTTTTGAGCATAATGATGATAGCACTGAGTGGTCGGAGGGAATGTAAGCTCATAATGATAACATGAATGATATTGCGCTGCATTACACTGATGTGGTTGCGGTACTGTTACTGTATGTACTATCTCTTCTGGTGGTAGTCTTGACAAATGTCCGACCCAGCTGATGGGTTTTGTATTCATATAGCTTAGTACTGGTTCCGTTCCAACTTGTTTAATGGTGTGTTTATTTCCTATCCTATCTCCTTCACTTCTCCTGTTTCAGTTTGTCTTTCCTTTTGTTGTCAACGTCCACTTTTGGTACTGGTAACACTATGCTGGTAAAAGTTCTCTACTGAATAGTGCTCTTTCAGTGTTAATTGCTACTGGTTTGTTCTACAATTTTGTCTAATGATTCGATTTTTTTTTTAAACTGGGGAAAGGGGGAGGGGGGGGGGTGGAACCGCGACCAGTTCTGCTGTTACTTAGTAACATGGGTTTTCCATGGAAAAAGAATATTCTTCTCACCAGCTAGAAATTTGGGCTATCCTCCGAATAACGGGCACAAAAGATGGCGGCCGCAAAAAACCCTAACATAGCCTCAGTCACGTGTCAATTGCGCACTTCCGGCGACTTAATTTTGCGGTTTTCCGGCGACTACCGCCACCGCCGAAAGTTTCGCAGACGCCGTTCACGCGGCGTGGATTGGGGCTAAACTAGATGGCTGGGACTCACGAGCAGCAGCTTCCGCATCTCCTGCAGCTTTGAGTCCTAGCCATTTAGTTTAGCCCTAATCCACACTGCGTTAGCGGCGTTTGGTATATTCTCAGCAGTGGCGGTAGTTGCCGGAAAACCACAAATTAAGTCGCCCTAAGTGCGCGATTGACAAGTGACTGAGGCTCTGTTTTTGGCCGTCTTCTTTTGTGCCCGTTATTCAGAGGATAGCCGAATTTTTTTTTTTTTTCATCATCTAGTACATTATCGAGTATCTGGGAAATGATCACCAACCACAACGTGTGATTTCTTACAGTATGTGTCAGTTTGTGTCCCGACACTCTTTCGTATCACTGCATTAGGCAGTCTTGTGCGATGATTCACTTTAGTGTGTGAGTATGCCAGAGGTCAGGGGGTCTGGGATTGCACATGAATATTCAATATTTGGTTAACTAGGTGAGCGCGGATACTTGACCCATGTTTGTGTGCGAAACAAGCGTTGCTTAAAACTCATCGGTAACTGCAGACACTATGCGTAGTGCAAGGAAAGTGTGAGATCCATGTGAAACTGGCTGCTGATGGGAAAAACCCGCAGCATATTTCTGGTAAACCAGTGCATTGAGCACTTAGCCTCGCGCACGAAACATCGTGGTATAGTTTTTATGGACGTATCAAGCACTTATTCGCGCGCACTAAACGTGATGGTCTAGGATACTGGGTGGTCTCGAGGCGTGGCGTCCGCCTCGAGTGCAAGAGGTTCCAGGTTCAAGCCCCCGTGAGGGCTTAGATTTTTCACATAGACTAGTAATTTCCCCTGGTCTCTGGGTAGTTATATCGGACGCCGTGTGTATTGTTGCGCACGTAAAAAATCTGTTGGCAGTTGAAAATCGAAACGAGTAGCCTAACGGCGCTGCCCGTGCAAAATTTGGAGTTACAATTCTACCCAAATTATTTCAGGTTCCTCGCCGGTGCAACAGAGTTGATGCACTGCGCTGATATCTTCAGACTTAGGCTAGAGTTAGAAGAAGAACGGAGCACTGATGGGTTACATCCGTGTGTCATGATGTTGATCCGTTGAATAAACATAAACGTCGTGGTCTAGTTTAATGGACGCTTCATTCCGCTCACGAGTGCAGTTTCTACAGAGATACATTGGTATCTTCGCTGGACCTGTGAATTTTGCTCTTTATATGACTCCGTCGTCGTCAGCTAGCTTATCCGCGGAAAGAGATCGAGTCCTATGAAACAGCATGTTGCTATAAAGTCGGCGGCTATTCTCTGAAAAACGGTCCCAAATTATCGAGGCAAAGAAAATACTCTAATCGGGCCTCAATGTTTGTGACTGTGCAGCCAGGAAACTGCACTAAATATTCAGTAAACAATGCGCGACCTGTGCTGCCGTGGTAACCTCGCTACGTCGCGTCTGCGTGAGTTCCATCAATAACCCTTCAATCGATAGTGTCGCGGTTCCACTGTTGTGACAGATTCTGGTGGCGGTGTCGTAATTTCAATACTCCTGGCCCTAACCCTAGGACCCAGGTGAAAAGTTAAACCTAGATCCCAGGGGAGAAGCTAAACCTAGCACTTAGTATCAGAGTTGTTGACATCCTCGATGATTCGGGATCGTCATTCGGAGGAGTATTTCATGCGGTATATTCGACGGAAAGAAGTCTGCAATTTAATATGATTGAGGCCCTGTTCGGGTATTTTCTTAGCCTCGATAATTTGGGACCGTTATTAGGAGGATGTCTGCTCTGTGGCTAAGTCGATGCCAACGATTCGTAATGGCGGGATTCCGGGTTCGATCCCAGCTGCGGGCTATGCGCCTTTCTTTGGTTTCGACAGTAGTATCAAGAAAGCCGACCGTCCAGGAGGCAATGGCAAACTAATGGACGTAAATTTGCCTAGACAAACGACACAACAGCCAGGGGCTGTTGGGGTTGGTTCTGCAACGTCCTGTAAAGGATACGCAACTAACCTATTAGGAGGATAGCCAAGTCGACTTTACCTTTATTACTATATATGTGTTCTTTAGCTTAATCAAAGGATTTCAAAAACCTTAGTTGCCGTCCCAAGATGGGACGCAATTTTTCGTTATTTTAAAGCTCCCACTCCGGCTGGTGTCAAAGGCTATATAATACAACTTAACGATTGGACGGGCGTTCTGGGATTTGCGTCCAGGTGATTTTGATCCGATGGTGGCACTTTATATCACCGGGTGTTTATCGCTGGTGGTGCGGTCCTGGTGGGGTTGAACTTCATTCTTTAGCATAATCTAACAGTTTGTTAACATCCTGCAGGCAGTATAGTCATGTGCAGTGTGCAATTCTTATCCAAATGTTTTTGTTGCCCAGGTACGCACGAGTGATTAAAGTGAAGGCGAAAAACCCAAATGTGAAGATCCTGCTTGCTGCTGGTGGCTGGAACATGGGATCTGAACCATTCATTCCCTTGGTGCAAACTCCGCAGTCGAGATCGGTTTTCACAAAGAATTTAATACAGTTTCTACGTAAAAGGAATTTCGATGGCTTTGATATGGACTGGGAGTACCCAGCAGCCAGAGGAAGCACGCCTGAGGATAAACCAAAGTTTCAACTTCTTATGGAGGTCTGACTATGTGTTTGTTTTATCAAAGATGTTGCCTTCCTGTGTGTTAATTTTCTTTATTAGTGGACATATAAGGAGATAAATTAATCTTACATCCGACACTTTAATTTAGAATAAAGATGATGTTGATAATAATAATAATAATAATAATATTAATAATAATAATAATTTTTATTATTATTATTATTAAAAATAATATTATTATTATTATTATTATTATTATTATTATTATTATTATTATTATTATTATGTAACAACCATTCTAAATTTCATTAAAGATTTTGTTAGCTTTTTATTTACCACATTTCCAGAAAACATTTTATTTTCTTTGCTTGATTCATTGCTCTTTTTTTCTTCAGTATATTTCATACCATAAAATCAGTTCATTATCATATTTTTTTAAGGCACTCTTCTAACGCATTCTTTTCAGATTTATGGTCTAATTAACTTTTTTTAAATGACTTTACTCTAACATATTCTTCCTGAAGTCTTTGCTCTAGCATATTTTTCCTGAAGTCTTTGCTCTAACATATTCTTCCTGAAGTCTTTGCTCTAACATATTCTTCCTGAAGTCTTTGCTCTAACATATTCTTCCTGAATTCTTTGCTCTAGCATATTTTTCCTGAAGTCTTTGCTCTAACATATTCTTCCTGAAGTCTTTGCCCTAACATATTCTTCCTGAAGTCTTTGCCCTAGCATAATGTTCCTGAAGTTTTTGCTTTAGCATATTCTTCCTGAAGTCTTTGCTCTAGCATATTTTTCCTGAAGTCTTTGCTCTAACATATTCTTCCTGAACTCTTTGCTCTAGCATATTCTTCCTGAAGTCTTTGCTCTAACATATTCTTCCTGAATTCTTTGCTCTAGCATATTTTTCCTAAAGTCTTTGCTCTAGCATATTCTTCCTGAAGTCTTTGCTCTAGCATATTTTTCCTGAAGTCTTTGCTCTAGCATATTCTTCCTGAAGTCTTTGCTCTAGCATATTTTTTCTGAAGTCTTTGCTCTAGGATATTCTTCCTGAAGTTTTTGCATTAGCATATTCTTCCTGAAGTCTTTGCTCTAGCATATTCTTCCTGAAGTCTTTGCTCTAACATATTCTTCCTGAATTCTTTGCTCTAACATATTCTTCCTGAAGTCTTTGCTCTAGCATATTTTTTCTGAAGTCTTTGCTCTAGGATATTCTTCCTGAAGTTTTTGCTTTAGCATATTCTTCCTGAAGTCTTTGCTCTAACATATTTTTCTTGAAGTCTTTGCTCTGATAACTTCTTCCTGAAGTCTTTGCTCTAACATATTTTTCTTGAAGTCTTTGCTCTGATAACTTCTTCCTGAAGTCTTTGCTCTAACATATTCTTCCTGAAGTCGTTGCTCTAACATATTCTTCCTAAAGTCTTTGCTCTAACATATTCTTCCTGAAGTCTTTGCTCTAGCATATTCTTCCTGAACTCTTTGCTCTAGCATATTCTTCCTGAAGTCTTTGCTCTAGCATATTCTTCCTGAAGTCTTTGCTCTAGCATATTCTGTGGAAAGTTATTGGTCTGTTATATTATTTGCAAGCTTATTACTGAAGCATTTTTCTTTGAAATATTGTTTCTCTATTATATTATCAAGAACGACGGCTCTAATACATTATCTGTAAATTCATTGCTCTAAAATGTTCTTTGCCCAGGCATAGTTCCAACATATTATTTGCAAAGTAATTGCACTTACTAAGTCTTTACCTCTAGTTGCCTCTTGATGTTTGTTGGAACGGTATACATTTTATCTACCCATCTTTGGAGTCTTTTGCCATGAAGTCAATGACTTCCCTTATTACCAGAAAAATCAGGTAAAATAGACATTGTTAATGTGTAAGACAAGGTAGGTAGGTAGTTGTACCCCATCAGGAATATCACGCAAGCGATAAACACCCGGTGACACAAAGTGCCACCATGCAGATGAGGATCACCCATGAAGAGGCTCCAGAAACCCGTTTCAGCCATAAGGCTATATCTATGGTTAAGCCATATCTATGCCCCGGCTATATTTAAGGCCCCCGACAGAAGCCAGGGTGGGGCTTCAAACAAAAAATTGCATCCCGCTTGTGAACAACTTTGAATAATGATGGATAGTGTGTAAGAAAATGTAGCGCAAGCATACTGTTTGTGAAGACGTTGATCTAACATATGGTGTAAAAAATATGATAACCATGTCATTATTTAAAGTAATTTAATTGCACATATAAAACTACCGTAAATGAGCGTGTTCGCAGCTGTAAATATAAACTGATAACACCACCGTAGAGATTAAACACACAAACACACACACACACACACATAAAGGAAATTTCTCATTACAATGGCCGATCAGGTATAGACCTGGATTCATACTGTTAAAGATTGGTCGGCACTCGATACGTGATGTGGTTAACAGCTAGCTGGAAGCCTTTACTTCCCTCGAGATTTTCTACTATGCAATTTAGGCCAGGTTGACTTGGGTGCAGACGCCAATTATTATGAAATAAATCATAGATGTCACCTTCGGCATGGCAAGTCTAACAACTACCTAACGCGACTTCAAAACTGTACACTCACAAATTAATATCTGTTTTCAAAGCAATGTTTCCCCGATGTGAATTTAAACAAAGAAGACACAAACAATAGACTGCACAGTTTATTGTCTAGCATATTTCGCTGCATCTCGTCATGTGCATACTACAGTAACAATTGATTAAAATGGAGCAAATAGCTGAATCCTAGAAACTGAAACACAAATTCGAGTACATTCTACACTGTCTCTGTAGGCAGAAAGAAATGGTCGTTTCCTTAAGGTTACCTAGGTGAAACAGACAGTGTAGAATGTTTTTGATTTTTGTTTCAGTTTCTAGGATTCAGCTATTTGCTTCATTTTAATCACTTTTACTGTAGTATGCACCTGACTAGATAAAGCGAAATATGCCAGGCAATAAACTGTGCAGTCTATTGTTTGTGTCTTCTTTGTTCTAATAGCAGTTTGTTTTGTTTTTTAATCAGGAAATAATGAGGGCGTTTAAAGAAGAAGGCACTCGAACTCATAGAACCCGCTTGATGTTGACCGTAGCCGTCGGAGCTGGCAAACCTATCATCGACGCCAGCTATTTTGCAGTCAATTTATCCAAGTGGGTGTTATTAGGACGTCTTTGTTTATTCTTCTTTTTTTTTTTTTTTTGTAAGTCATCATCATCGTGTTACAGGTCCTTTGCAGAAGGTCGCTCTCATCACGGTCTGCCTAAAAGAAACTCGGTCTCTCGCCATTTTACCGCCTCATGTACTTTCATACTCAAGGAGTCACTTATACCCTGTGCCCATCTTGGTGTTGGTCGGCCCCTGCCCCTTCTTCCTGGTAACATGACTTCTGCTATTATTTTTTCAAATCCGTTTTATGGATTGAAAATTAATTGTGTTTCTGTGTTTCTTTCCTTTCTTCACGTCAGTAAGTATTCCCAATTATGGCAATGAGATTTTAGTAAACGGCTTCAGCAGTGACCAGAAGAGATACAGTTTGACAAAAAATCACAGAGAAAAAGTCCGCACACAACCAAATTCAAATTATGTACTACAGATAATAAAAATGTTACCCTATTTATAGAGAATGCATTGCGATGTCATATCATACCAAGCATACACAAGAAAAGGAGAGGGTTGTACAGCGAGATCAAGAACAAGAAGAAAAGAAAACAACATCAGAGAAACTCTAAATCGACACAAACTGCCTATGCTCAGGGTGGAAAGAACAGAAAAAAGCAGAAGCTTATAATTTCCTCCAAACTCTAACTCTCCATATGGGTTCCAGGGCCTCAATTTAAGGAAAAGTATATACCCATGGCCTCCCTAACTTGCTTGTAGTACAAGGCGCCTAATTAGGGAAGTTTCCTTTGAAATCGTCGTGCATCTACCTTAGAGGAGGCTAGGTATCAACAAAATGCAATACCAACAAACAAAAAATGCGTCTCTAAAACAGATGTGCACGCAAAACACAAGTTCTTAACGTTTTAAACTTTAGAAATAGACGAGCAACGTGACCTTTCATTCGGTGATCGCTAAGGAGGAGATGAAAACACCCGTAGCAGGAACAAGAGGAAGTGGACAACGACTGAACGAACGAAGAAACAAACTTTATTTTCAAAGGGTTACAAATTGGGCACGCAGGCCGTCTTACATTCGGCACTTCCAAGCACTTTTTTTCAAACAACAACTTGCTTGCTATTCGTAGGATTTGATTGAATCAACAGGAAAATTTAATTTTCAGTAATTTCAAACAGGAGTTTATAAAGGAATTTAGTCTTGTTACAAACGAAACGTTTACTAAATGACGGAAGTCTTAGATATCCGTATAAGAGATTTTGTTCGACGTAATTTCTATCAGAAACTAGGCGTAACATCCGATTTTAAAAAGAACTCAGTCGTTTAATATTAAGTGTGTTGTGGAGCAAACATCCCAAATTTTCTAACAATAGTCAATATGCATTTGCATGTAGGATACGTGATTATTTTCATCCAGAAATTTCTGAATTTTGCCAAACAGAAAAACGTTTCATTGCTTTTTTTTTTTTGTTAAATCTGTTGATGTTCCTTATGGTATGTACCTGGGAACACACAGTTGAAAAGCGGTCAGTTAAAATACACAATGATAGCATGGGGTTTCAGGGCCATTGTTGTCAAGTGTTAAATCCGTTTCTTTTTAGACGCTCAGGTCTCATCCTCTCTGTAATTTTTTCTTCCTTCACACTCATTCCATTCCTGATATCCACTTTCCACAAAGGTGAAACGAATATGTTTCGAACAAAGTAGGCTGCAGAAGCTGCCGGATCAGAAGAGCAGTGCTCTATCTGTTCGCCTATCGGAGCTTCCCTCCTAGACCAGCTGCCAGCCAAGTGTAAGGGCCTGGTCTACCCTGCCATAACAAAGTTTTCAGTTTGCATTTCCTCTTTCTAGGATAAGGCGAGTATCCTCCCCAATGCGCTTATCCGCCCGAATCCGTTGGCACAATATGGGATGTTAGGTTTGGTATACGCCGCGCAACATTCGCCGTAACAGAAGACAGGAGGCACCGGCTATTGTTATACAGTAGCTCAGTCATATTTGACCAAGACCTGACACAGAAGAGGCAAAAAATAGTGGTCGTAACATTCAGCCCTGGAGGATGCCTGTATTCAGCTCCATGGGTTTTTTAATAACGCTTACTGAATTGTCTGATAAACCAACCATTAGCTTGTCACTCTGATCGTGAAGGTAGCCAGCAGATCTAATTTGCTACCGCAGCGACAATAAGAATAAACTCACAGGGAGCAAGTACAGCGGGGATCTACAGTCATCAGTAGAAATTATCCTCGTCGACATACGTTTCGGCCCACGATTACTAAACGCATTCGGAGGTGGGCCCACCTGATATCATGAAGCTCAGGGCTGCTTCCCCGCTGCACAGAATTACCGGATGGTGTTATTATTTCGGCCAGAGACAAGACGACTTTGTGGTTTCGAAGGAGGTACTGTGAGATAAGAAGCCGCCGCGACAGCGTAATTAAAACAGTCCGCATGCCTGGACGACCGAGCGACAAGCTTACTTTGGTTTACCGGACACATGTTGGACTTTTATTAGCAGTTGGCAGAGGGACACTGGCAGACAATTCGTACACGATGGACTTTTCAAAGGGATAAGAAACTCTTTTCCACTAGATACCCGGACCAGCTCACCGAGGCCCGTCCCCTACGTTGTTGCGCTGCGTCCAAAGCCAGCTAGATGCCCTTTCGGCCACCTCTCTCAGTTTTTTGAGTGCTCGTTTCCGTTCATTACCGCGCAATCCTAATTCTTTCACCACATTGTAGAGCGAAGTGGAAACGAGGCCTCTCGCTCCCACTTCGACGGCAAATACCCGTACTGTGTAAGCCTCGTTTCTCCTCAAACCGGCTGCTAAATCACTGTACTTCTCGAGCTTGTACAAATGATTCTCCTCCATACGCGACTCAAACGGGACCGTCAACTCAATCAGGATGAGTTGCCGTTTTTGCGCAGAATGGAGAACGATATCCGGTCGCAGGCCGGTTTTACGGATCAACTCGGGATACCGTTCATGGCCTGGCAGATCAACCGCCAGTAACCAGTCCCTCGCAGAGTCTAGTACAGATGGAGCGAATGCGTTTTTGTTGACCTTACCAATTGGAACCTGCCCAGCCTTGAGGAAACGAATGGGGCGATACTAGAACTGGCTCTGGCGTTAGCCCTCATTCTAGCCTGGTCGACAACGGCTGCTAACTCCTTTAGCACCTTGTTGTGGCGCCAGGTATATCGGCCTTGACCTAGGGCTTTCCTGCACGCGGACAGGACGTGCTCAAGAGTTTGCTTTGATTTGCACAACGGACAAGTCGGATCGTTGGTCGCAGACCATTTAACCATGTTAACACCAGACGGTAATACATCGTACGCCGAACGAACGATAAAGCTCAGTCGCAGCGGGGTCATCCGCCAGATCTCACCCCATGTGAGTATTCTCGGCAATGCGCTCTCCAGGCTGACCCAATGGCCCTGCTGCGACTGCTGGGCTGCTTTCTGGACCCGAACCTCGTTTTCGTTGTCCCTCACCGTTTGTATCACCATGTCTCGGCGCTCTTTGGCTGAGGCCTTTGACCACCAATTGACCTTCCCGTGCCTTAGGCCTCGACGGTCGGTTTGTGTGTAACCCATAATCTCCTTCAACTTTAGTGCGTTCTGGGCAGATTCTATCGCATCGAGGACCCTCCACTTCTGACCAGTCTTTAGAGCGGGCTGGACAGCGATGACATTTGGGTCTGAAGACTCGCGCAGAAGCATGGCGAGCCTTACTTTGCCGACTTTAAACTCTTCGGTTATCGACTTGAACAGAAGTACCAGCTTAGCCT